CCTCTCAGAACTCATGGTGGCATGTTCAAAAGCAGCTGCAGGGGGAAGATAGTGAGTTGTAGAGGCTGGGCATGATCTCAGAGGACTTTAATCCCCAGCTTGGGGGTAGGGGGCACAGAAGCAGATGGATCTCTGTAAGTTCAAGGCCATCTTGGTCTGCATGGCAAATCATAGGATTGCCAGAGCTACATACTAGAGAGAACCTGCCTGTCTTTTTTTTTTTTTTTTTTTTTTAAGCTATGATTGTAGGTAGCAGGGGTGTGGCAGTGTGGGCCTATAATCTAGCGCTTGGTAGGTACAGCAGGAGGTCTGAAGTCTTTAACTGTTGGGGAAGACACACGTTTCCCCCCCCCCAAGTTCTCTTCTTTTGTTTCAGTGTTTGAAATGGGCTGTCACTGATAGAGACCAGACCTGTCTTGAACTTGCAGCAGCCCTCCCTCCTCTGGCTACTTAGGGCTTGCTGCTGGATCACAGGTGTGCACAACCACCCCTGACATAAGTTCTCCCAAATTCTAAACTCCTCTTGAATTTCTGTCTGGTGATGTTGGTAATTGGTGGACTCACCTATTTCACTTCCAAATTCTCAAGTCATAATGATTTTAGTTTTTCAAAATCCTCTTGCAGCTGTGTGTGGAGGTCCATTCCTTTAATCCCAATATTCCACTCGGGAGACAGAGGCAGGCAGATCTCTGAGTTCAAGGCCAGCCTGGTTTACCGAGTGAGTTCCAGGACAACCAGGGCTACCCAGAGAAACACTGTCTCAAGAACCCCCCCCCCAAAAAAAAAAAAAAAACATGTCCTAATGGGACTGGAGAGATGGCTCAGTAGTTAAGAACACTGGCTGCTCTTCCAAAGTACCCAGGTTCAATTCCCAGCACCCACGTGGCAGCTCACAATTGTCTGTAACTCCAGTTCTAGGGGATCTGACGCCCTCATACAGACATACATGCAGGCAAAACACCAATGCAAACGAAATAAAAATAAATAAATATTTCTTTTTAATCTTAAAAAAATATCTTCTGGCTGCTTGCTTTCTTACTTATTATGTTATTTCCATAAAGAAAAATCTACTTGTAGTTCAAGGTTTAATGCACTTGATAATATTCACAGCTTCAGAATTTGAAGGACACTTGCTATCTTCCTACTGTGTATGGCAGGAGAACTTCATATCTCACAGCATCGGCTGGGACAGTGAGGCCATGGGCTACTTTGTTGGGGACACCCACCTCCTATGCTTGCTGTTGTCAGCTGAGCGCGTGAGGCAGCATAGTGAGCCGTATCCAGGTTCAATGGGGGAAGTGCTAATGGAGCAGCGATGGAAAGTGATGGGAATCGCACTTTGAGAGTCAAGTCCTAGTTGACCCCTCAGGATGGGTTCATGAGAACAGTGTCGGGTGACTTCCTTGTGTTCATTGCAGCTTATCATTGTCCTTTTACTTGTAAGTTTGTTTTTCTAGCAATAAAATTCAAGGCTTGCCTCTTCTGTATTGAACATCTAAAATGCCCCCATTGTGTGCTAGCAGATAGTGTTGGTGAAAGTGAACAGTTCAAAAACGCATTTCTTTGTAAGACAGGATCCCACTGTGTAACCCAGTCTAGCCTTAAACTCAGCCTTCCTGCCTCTACCTTCTAAATTCTAAGAATACAGAAGTGCCACCATATCTGGTGACAGTTTAATTTTCTTCCACTTGTAAGGAACTTTGGTTTTTTTCCTGGATGCACCTTGTTAGTATTTTGTTCTTTTAGAGGAGTTTTTTTGTGGGGTGTTTTTGTTTTTTGTTTTGTCTCTAGACTACAATAATCTTACTGAGGTAGACTACAGAGCTGAGTCACTTCTCCTGGGGACATGGTTCTTTGAATATTTCATATCTCTTTTTACTTCAGAAGAGTACTCTTGAATTGTAATTGTTAGTATTTATTTTCCTTAGCTGTTGCTTTGTGGTCTGTCTTTTGGGACCTCTGTTATAGGAAACTGGTGTCCTTTCCTTACAAACATGTTACATAGGGATGCCCTCAGTGTCCAGGAGTTATAAGTGGTTTCAAGCCATCCAGTGTGGGTGCCGGGAACCAGACTGGTCCTCAGGAAGCGAAGGTTTGACCACTGAGACAGCCCTAGAGCTCCTAGTTTATGGAGCTCCTCCTTTTATTCACTATCTGAAATACTTTTTTTCCCCTAAGTTCTGTGTCCTCTGATTTTGAGTTTTGCTGTTTTTCATGCTATTTCTATTATGGGCAGGTTTTCAAGTGTCCTTTTATTGACTGTTGAGAGGGTATTTTCTGTTCTTTTGTTTACCCCTTTATAGTTGTGTGTAGGATTCACCATGGTTTGTTGTAGTATTAAAAGCTTGCTTGTATAGACAGGAGCGAGGGAATCTGGGATGTGGAGGACTGTTTTGGAGGTGTTACACAGAATAAGGCCTGTTGAATTAAATAACATGCTAGAGGCTGTTAACCCTCTAATCATGGGGTTGCTGAGGTAGGACCAGTTTGACATATGTGACATAAGGATGTCCCCCACAGTGAGTCTCAGTCGTGTTCCTGATCCACAAGCCAGGCTGTCTGCTCAGGTACTGTCACCTTGTGACATATCTGGGCCCTTGGTGTGAGCACTTAGATGGCCCTGGAGTGAAGGTGGCTATGAGTTTCCAAGTGTCAGCCCCTCTGTGTCCAGGTCACACACAGATCCTAAGTCACCTCCAAAGGAAGAGGCCCAATCCTGTGATCAGAGCAGATAGAGGAAGTCTTACACTCTCAGAGGACAATGTATTTCATGAGGTGCCTTTTCATGTTCAGACATGGGATGTTGCTAGTGTGAGATCATTTGACGGTAGCTGTCTTTATAAGCCCCTTGGTTCTCCTGAGGTCCATGTGCACTTCCGCACAGTGGAGTGTCCCTGGGGGGGGACTGGGGGGGGGGTCAGTTCTTCACTCTCCTCTCTGCAAGCCAGTGACAGCTTGAATTAGAACAGGTTACTTTTACTCTCTGCCCATCACAGCACAAAGATGTGTGGGATCGGCCATTCTTGAGGGAGCCCAAATGACTCCCATCTGATCCTGGGCTCGATGTTTGTGTTGACAGGAAGTTCTTTCTTGCAGATCTCTCGAAGGCCTTGGTTCTGACAGAAATTGGGCCCAAACGTGACCCCGATACCCTGAAAGTATTCCTGAGCAACATGGAGCGGCTGCTACACGCCAAGGCTCATGGGTACAGGTCCTCAGTCCCGTAGCCAGTGGGTTGAAAACCAAATGTGCTTTTGGCTAAGCACCCCCAAGGGATGTGAAGAGGAGGCACCGGGAGAGGTAGGGCAGGAGGTTGCTGACATCAGGCTCAGAGAGGCACACCATGCGCCATCATCCACGGAACATTCTGGCTGCCAGGTGTCAGGAAACGGATGTGTCCTGTGTCCTTCTAATCTGTGTTTGAGAGCCAAGAAACTAAGCTTGGGTCCCTCAACCAATGAGTCTTATGGGTCTTTGGAGCCTCTCAGTGGCTTTGCCTTGGACCAGGGGTGTTCAAAGTTACCTTTCTATTGATAAGATGAGGTACTATGACCAAGGCAACTTATAGAAGAGTTTATTGGGGGCTCACAGTTTCAGAGGGTGAGTCCCTGGCCATCATGGTAGGGAGCATGGCAGCAGACAGGCATGGTGCTGGAGCAACAGTTGAGACAACAACCACAAGGCAAAGAGAGATAGCTGGGGAATGGTGTTGGGGGAGCTTGAAACCTCAAAGCCCACTCCTGGTGACAACACTTCCTCTGGCAAGGCCACACCTCCCAATCTTTTCCAAACAGTTCCACCCACTGAGGACCAAGTTTTGAAATATATGTACCATAAGTACCTAGGGAGGCCATTCTCACTCACTACACCACAGTGTCCAAACACTTGATGTTCTGTTATGGTGCTATATTTATAAACAGGCTGGGTCACATTTGTACCTAGCCTAAGGCAAATATGGTCTACGGGCCACAGGTTGGACATACCTGCTCGATAAACTGTTGGTTATTTCTCACATGTGCTTAAGTCAAAATTACTTCATCCTTGCCTCTCTCACATCTGTGTGGTAACCACCCACTCCGTGAAGGCCCTACATGTAACCTTCTAATGTTGAGTAAGAACTTCAGTCCTCTGGCTGCATTGTTGACCAGAATTAGTGACACACTAATGTCATTGTGGAAGAATCGTCTACTGAGGCCACACACTCCAGGCCTGCACTCTGTGTCCCGAGCTTGCTGGCAAAATCCCTAGCAAGGGGTGATGGGATAAGCATCAGTCATGCCATGGCAGGGGGCCTCTCACCCACCCACATCTGCCCTGCCCTTCCCTCCAGGGTCCGGGTGATTGGAAGCTCCACCTTGGCACTCTGCTACCTGGCTTCAGGCGCCGCCGATGCCTATTATCAGTTTGGCCTTCACTGCTGGGACCTGGCAGCCGCCACAGTCATCATTAGAGAAGCAGGTGGCATTGTGATAGACACCTCAGGTAAGCTCTATGGCCCTTGGCCACCCTTACCACCCAGTAGCAGACACTAGCAGGTGACACTGAATAGAGCACACAGTAGGTCCACACCACATTGGATTCTTCCACTTCCTCTGAATCCTGCAGACGAGACTACACCAGGGTGCATGGCAAGCAGTGGCCAACCATAGAGGGCTTTGGTCCTGTCCTTCCTCACACATAAGTGAAAGTCACTTGGCTAGTAGCAGAAGTGGTAGCATCCCACACTCACACTTCCGCAATCCAGTTGGTAAACGGAGCAGAAACTTCCCCAAGAGCTGTAGCCCAGAGCGGGGTCAGCCCAGTATCCAGAAGTTGTTCTGTCCTTCTGCTTTTGTGCCATTGAGTCCCAGTCACTGGTCCTCCCCTATAGAGCATACCTGAGCCCCATCTGCTCTACCATTTTGTGCCCAAAGCTCCCTCCCCTGAGTTCTGGCAAATCTTGTTAGACCCATTTTTCCTTCTTGATTTTCATTTAGAGTTTGTTAGCAAAAATGCTATGGCCTGCTTTTAACTATTGGGTTTAGAAAGTGGATCTCCTGTAGTCTGGCTTCCACCTTCATCCTGTTTGTCCGCTGAGAGGTTTGAATGTCCTCGAAGTGTATAAACGTGAAGTTGGCTGGCCTTTGGCAGTGAACGGTACAGGACTGTCTCACACTAAAAAGCATCTCACACTCTGGGGTTTATCACTTGAGCACCTTGAGTCCTGAACCTGTGTGATTGTCATCACTGGGCGTGATGTTTCTTATATTGTACACCCAAGAAGGTGATGGAGCATCAGAGAAGTCAGGCTTGGTCCTCCCAGGTCTACTAAGTCAGGGAAGTACATCACCCCACTCAGCCGCAGCAGCCTGCTGCGTGGTGAGATGCAGGACCATATACTCCCAACCTGGTCTCACCTAGTTTTGCATTTCACAGAACCATCTGAAATGGGGCAGCTTTGGCTGCATTCCCACTAGGGCAGAGTAAACAGCAAGAGTCACCATGCCTTTTACGCAGCCAGGTTCATTTCTTGGCTGCTTGTTGGATACCAGCCCTGGGACTCCACCTCAGGCCTATGAGTTGTTTATCCTCTGCATGCATTTGTGAGAAGTTGCTGTATAAGACTGTTGTGCAGGCTCCCATAACTCAGATGTTTGCTCTCCCCTCTGTCCACAGGTGGACCCCTTGACCTCATGTCTTGTAGAGTCGTCGCTGCTGGTACCAGAGAGATGGCAGCGCTCATAGCTCAGGCCTTACAAACTATTAACTACGGACGGGATGATGACAAGTGAGCCACACACAGAATGAGGCTTAGAGGCTGAAATTCAGCAGCTCCCTAGGAAAGAGCTGTCCCAGTGGTGAGGGCTCTGTGACAAAAGTCTCCTATAGCTCTCGTTGGGACTCGGTGCTGAGCTGATTTCTCTGTAATCTATCTCATGTAGCCCTTTTCAGGTCGGTACAAGTTCTTTCATCAGAGCCAAACCTAAATCTCTTGTGAGGTGTGTATTAGTCATTCAGTCTTGATTGTTTTTCCAGAATGTAAATCTCAGGTAATAAAGCTTTGGAACTTGCTCTCGGGCCCTCCCCTGCCCACGGTAATATACAATGCAATAAATCAGAATTAAAGCGTTACGCTTTCTGTTCCCCTCCAGCCTCTGGCTCTCAGGCTTCCTGAACCCCCATGCTGTGCAGGCAAGGCTGTTAACTGACGTCACCCCACAAGTCGTTTGCCGTTGCTTGGTTTAGATGTCTGGCACCCCAGCCATGGCAACACTGAAAACATTTCCCCTAAATATCAGTCCCCTGATCTACAGGCTGGATTTAATTGTGCATATAGATCATCCTCCATTTTTTTATACTGCCTTTAGTGGATCTTCAGAGAGTAAGTGTGCTGTATAATTAAAATGGTGTATGTATATTCAACCTTTATTGAAGCCTACATGTATTCGAAAGGGAGGGGGATGAGAAACTAAAAAACAAAACTAAAATATTTTTTGGCAAACTTTTTAAACAAAATCTTTTAGGAGTTGCATTTTTAGTTTTTTGGTTGTGAGCCTAGCCTTTAATGGCTGAGCCATCTCTCCAGCCCAGGAGTTGCATCTTTTTTAAAGATGGAGCTTGGTTTTGATATTTTGGGGTTTTTTGTGGGGGGAGATACTGGGATAGAACTCAGGACCTCATACACATTAGACGAGCTGTCTACCCCTGAGCTACATCCCAACCCTAAAAACCAGAATTCTGGTTGTCAGTTAAGCTGTGGCTCTAGGCTATTGAGGCAAGGTCCAGATGGCTCTGAAATATCTGTAATTTGCCTCAGGGACTTTTCCATCTTGTGAGCCTGGACAGTTCCACACTTGCCATACTGTAGTTGCTGGGGGTGGGGGTAGAAAATACCTTGTTTTATTTATTTGCTTGTTGTGTTGTTGCTTTTCAAGACAGGGTTTCTCTGTGTAGCCTTGACTGTCTTGGAACTCACTCTGTAGACCAAGCTGGCCTTTATCTCACGAGGTCCACCTGCCTCTGGCCTCCCTAGTGCTGGGATTAAAGGTGTGTGCCACTGCCTCCACCACTTTGTTCTTAATAAGTGGGGAATTTGGGTATTTCTCATGTTTGACTATAAGGTAAGTTCCATGCCTTTGTTAAGTATTCTCTCTCTCTCTCTCTCTGAGGAACTTGTCTATCACTTGGGGCCACAAGGGCAAAAAGCAAAGCTCCCAGCCATGGTCTTCCTAGAACCAATTGCACTGGTCTTTTCAAGCCACTGAATACCTCCAAATGCAGTTAAGCCATTTTGAGATAGCCTTTGGGTTCTTTTTACCTTTTTTCATCTCTGGAAGTTGCTTTAATTATCTTCGTTACTGTTTCATTCTAGTAGTACTTTTCCATAGGTGGATTGTTTTATTTTGTTTCCTTGAGACAGGATCTTGTGAATCCCAGGCTGGCCTAGAACTTTCTGTATAGCCAAGAGTGGCCTTGAACTCCTGGTCCTCCAGCCTCCAGCCTCCACCTCCCTACTTCTGGGATTCCGGGCATGTGCCAATGCCAGGCACTAAGATATTTTCTGATTACCCTGGTAGGCTCAGACTTGTGCCTTTTTATTTTCTCAGAATATACTCAGAACAGTACCTAGCATATATGCAGATGCACAAGAAATTCCTCAGATTATTCATGCATTGTGCAATGTAGAGCTTAGTTAGGAAGACCGCCTGGACTGAATGATTGGGAGGTGATTCTCATATAAATAACTGCAGGAACAACCCTTCCTCAAGTCTTCAGAGTGCTTAAGCTACATCTGCGTGTCACTGTCACTCAA